TTGATTAATTTGGCACTCTGCCAACACCAGGAGCTTTAAATAAATCATGCTAAGTTCGGCCCGCATTGCACGCGGAGGCAACGCTCGCATTAAGTGTACGACGTACAGGGTGTTTGTAAAATATTGTAACACAAATAAATATTTTTTGGCATATATATTACATACCGCGGCTTCGCCCGCGTGGTCAATGGGAATTAACAATGAGTTTTTTATTATACACCAAACTATCTCGCAGATGGCTTTTTTCTACTTAGTTGACACTTATCATTGCCTATACACACTATAAATTATAGCCTATGTGTTATTCTGATGTATAAGCCATATTATTGTAAAGTTTCATTAAAATCTATTCAGTAGTTTTTGCGTGAAAGAGTAACAAACATACATCCATACATACAAACTTTCGCGTTTATAATATTACCAACTGCTGCCCGCGACTACGTCTGCGTAGAATAGGCTGAAGGCGTAACATTCAGACAGAAAGACAGATATACATAAGATATGTATATAAATTATAGCCTATGTGTTATTCTAATGTATAAGTTATATTAATCTAGTTTCATTAAAATCCATTCAGTAGTATTTGCGTGAAAGAGTAACAAACATCCATCCATACCTACAAACTTTCGCGTTTATAATATGTTGTTTTTCATTCTTCAGAAGTGATTCTGTTGCTTCGGCCTTTCGCAACGTCCTATACGATAAATTGAGAAATTCTTTACTTTGTGTAAAGAAGATTTTTCTGATAGTGAAGATATTTTTCTTCAGCGGCCCGGTCTTGGGATGGTCATTCAGCTAAGAGTGCTGGTTTGGAGGCCTGCCATATTAAAAGTTTCTTTTTTCTTTTTTTTTTACATATTTTTAAAGATGAACTTAACAATGAATGTGTATATTAAATGAAACTAGTGTACGGATTTTATCGCGTATTTTAACCCGATAAAATCCGTAAACTAGTTTCGTTTAATATGTAGGTATAATATTCGCGTAAAATCAAGAAGTCCATAAATGAATGTGTAAGCAAGGATATTTACATAGATAACTTTTTATAGTTAGTCATAAGATTAACTATGTAATTAATGTACACAAATCTCAAGCTAATAACGTACCTTATACGCAGGGCTATAAAAGTATTTTAAGCCAAAAAACTGTTACATTAACTGAGTAATAAAATGTACACAATTAGGTTCAATAGCAAAATAACGGTCGTCCCAATAACGGCCCGTTCCAATATTCTATCTACGGATAGATTTGTTCAATAACTATAGGTATTTGACATGAATTCATGAAATATTTTTAACACATTTTATTCCATAACTAATTTGAACATTTTTAAAGTTTTTTTTATAGTGCTAATCTCTGTACTTAAGACAATCTTTTCGTACTTTTTCTACATGTTTTCATTTGAACATGTCTTTATAACGTAATAGAAATAAATATCTTAAACTGATCATAAAATGAGGTGTTTTTATTTTAATCAAAAAGTGTACTCTTATCGGGACAACCCGCAAGAAACAATTAAAACTAATTTAGTTATGCCCAGATTTTTTCTTTAGTTTTATCTGACTCGTAAGCACACAACAGAATTTCGAATCCACACATATTAGAAACATTTAAGGAAGGAAGGAAATCTTCCGAAAATATTTCAAATATCTCCATTCCAGCCAAAAACTGTTTTACCAGTGAGTGTCATCAGTTATCAGTGTGAAGTCTTTGCTTTAAGCGACGCTTTTTAGCTGCTTACCTTAGAAATATCATCATTGCGTTTCGCTTATACGAGAGGATTTAACACCTAAGTTATAATATGTGCAAGGCGCCTGAATTATTTCCCTCTCCAGTTAGATCTTGATACTTGCAGCGATAACCTTCAATATCTCCAGGCGCAAGTTGAAGACCTAAATAATTATCCAGGCTCCTAACAATGGATGTAATGTTGTCATTAAAATAATTTATGAAATAGCTTTAACTTATTGGAATTGATGTTATTAAAACTGTCTTATTTAAAATGTTGAAACGAAAAATTGAAACGACACTTATTGATTCCTGTAAATGTAAGAAAAAGGATTTTCAAAGTGAAACTTGTTTTTCATCCAAGAACAATGCTGAAAACTCAGGGCTCGTGTGGTTGCAACATTAAAATTTTGTGCATTCCCTAATGCCCATAACGCTATCCGCTAATTACTATCTACTACTATGTATATTACTATGTATACTACTATGTATATTTTTATTTTGTTTTCTCAACATAAACAACGTTCATTGCATCAAACACCCAATGAGCGAATAGCGAAGTTTAAATACAATCAAATTTTGCGTTACAACCATTAATTTCGATTAATTTACCACCCTGCCATTTCCGTAAGCTATTGAAACATGGTAGGTTCAGACCGCATCACTGTACGGAGGCGGAGGTAGCGTTTAATCAAGTTACAATACAATATCAGCGTATCGCTGTCCCCCACTGAACAAAAGCCTCCCCCAAAGTGCGTCAACTATCCCGGTCCTGGGCCGCCCGCATCCATCGTGCTGCAGGCCGTCCCACACTACGTTGTTTTCCCCCAAAGTCAAGTTGCTAGTTGCCGAATCAATAGCCCGACACAACAGTATCTACTATTTACAGTATCTATTCTTTCAATCGGAGTTCTTATATTGTATTTTTAATGAATTTATGTCAAACTGCTTATTTAAAAAAAAAAAGCCCGCTGAGTTTCTTTCGCCGGTGCTTCTCAGTACAGTGGCTTTCTTTTCCGAACCGGTGGTAGTGTTTTGACTATCAATAAGTGAGTGTAATGCTCCTATGTTGAATAAATACATTTGATTTTGATTTTGATTTGACTGTTTCACGAACGTTGAGGTCCGTCCGGGGAAGTACCACGACCTCGCAAAAGAGCGACGTGAAGTGGAAGTGTACCTAACTCTTCTGCGTTTCGTAGGCGAGTGACCTGGCCCACTCTATTAAACGGTGGCATCGCATCTGCAACCGCTAGGATGTTACAATTACCATGGGCCCTGGATGTCAGCTGTCTTGCCACCATTAAAAAAGTAGCCATTAAACCAATAATGGAAAAAGACGAAGGGGTGAAAGTTACTTAACTTGTTAGCTTAACCTGATTTAGGTAGAAAATTTTCAATCTCTCTCTCATCATACTCGGTGAACAGTGCATAATATTAAGAATGAAATGAGGCTTGAAATCATGAATTTATTACTCTAATTATGATTTTTTCAATAAAAAATTAATGAAACAATACACGTTACTGAAATATAGCTTTAATCAGTTTTAATAATATGTTTGTATGTACACATAGCGCTTACATACTATATAAAAAAAAACTGGATGTCTACAGTAAAATTGTAAAAATATCGTACATTGTACATACGGCCAAAGTAACGTGGAATATAATACAAGCGAAACTGTCTGAGAAGCATTCCGAATACAATATTCTAATGATATCTCTCAACTCTATACCATTATTGTTTCGCTTATGTATAAATTAAGTGGAATTTAAAACATAAAATACGCAAATCGACCTAAAAAATAGGTTCGTATGTTATAACATCGAATCCAGTTAAGATGACGATAATAATTGCTTCATTGAAAAACGAAACACTCTGTATAATTGAACTTCGATATAGATAAAATTACATTTCATCGACCCCTTTGTCATAAGCATCGAAATTTGTGCAAGGAGTGTAAATACGGGGTGCTTCTAAATATAATAATATGTTAAAACTGCAACTGTTGAAATGCATTTTACTAGTAAATTAGCACCAGTACAAGTTTTCACACGGAGAAACTTCATGTGTGACGACTTGCACTAACAAAAACGTCTGGATTTTTCTCTTGGAAATTTCATTAAGTTTTAAAATAATAAATAAATATAAAAATAAAATAAGGAATGGATTTTTTAAATGCGAAACCAGAATATTCGTAGCGGAAACAGGAAAATATGAAACGATCACCACTGATGTTCCTTCACATTATTCCGTGGCAATTATTATTAGATCGCCTTAATTTACAGTATTTAAAACAATTGTCATTTTAGGAACTATAATCACTATTGAAATCGGTCACACAAATATGTGCCAAGATCCAACGGGCAGTTGGACAGTTACGAAGACATCTTAAGAAACTATTTGCGAATAAAATACTACACTGACGGGACAACTAAATAAAATTGCGATTATATTGCAAAGTTCATTGTTTGAACGAAACGAAGTCGTTGGGAATGCTAACTAAAATAATGTTAACTTAGAAATAATGAAGTTAAATATTTTAGCGGAACAGACTGAAATCACACAAATTGCATCAAACTTTCTAACAGTAAACCCTCGATGGGTGATTACAGCTGATTTTTTCGTCGAAATCAAAATTAATAGGGTCCTTTGCTACGAAACAAGTCAAACACATCGTGTGTGATTCAAATCCACCGGGAAGAACGGTTCCAACGAACGCTTTGTGTTAGCTATTGACGTGATCAATAGCGCAAAAGCGGCACACGATCTCGTCTCAGTCCTCCGCGTCACTAACTAGCGCCGGAAACAATCTAGCATCACTATCAAACCGTACCGGGGGAACGACATGGCGTGGAACACCATCGGGAATGTCATGAATCAAAATCAATTTAGAATAGTCAGTCTTGGAAACCGATGCAACTGGCAAGTTTCTACGAGCTACCGTCACGCGGCCTTAACACGATATTACAAACAATAAATACTTAAGATACAACATGGGGTGTACGGTGTACGCCTGAACCTCGTTCGGCAGGCGTCACACTAACCAAACCGACTTACAATTAAATCATGCGAATGGTCCTTCCATATTCTTGTACGCAATAGGTAAAAAATCTAGCACGAGATTTATTTACACGAGCACCGCAAATCAAACTATCCGATTGCACGTTTCACTGATTCGTCATTGATATCGCCACACCGTGGCATAATCACTAAAAGCTCATTGGCACTTGGTTTAAGTTTACTTCTCACACGCGCCACGCATCGGCTACACTTCCGTGCCGTCCTCTCCTTCGTCCTCGAAGAGTGGTTCGTTCGGGTTGACTTCTGTGGGTGGTTTTTTCTTGGGTTTGGGTGGCGGCCGCGGGGGGATCTTGCCACTCCTGCCCAGCGTGCCTGATTGGTTCAATGATACGTTGCTCTCGGCCTTTCGAGGGTCATCCTTCGATGGCGATGTGGGATCCTCTTTGCTGTCGGTCCTCACATTTTTCCTCAGCGACCCAGTCTCGGGTTTGCCTTTGCGGCTCAAAGTGCTGGTTTCTGAGGCCTGTGATTGGGCGTCATGACTTCGGTTATCCGCGAAAAGGGCTTTCCTCGGCTCAGGCTGAGGCGTCGAGGTGCTCTTCGCTGTCCAGCTCATGCGTTGGCTGACGGGCTCTTGCGGTCCGGGGGTGGACAGTTGCGTGGAAAGTTGCGAGCTGATGCTGTTCCTGTTCGTCATGAAAGGTGGCACGGGGGACGGCGCCGGTTCCTGCTCCTCGATCGGGGCGTAGTACAGCTGGTGAGGGTTGGGGTACACCGTGGGTGTGGCTGGCAGTGGTCGATTCCTCATGGGCGAGAACTGTTGTTCTAGTCCGGCCTTGTTCAGAGATAGAACGGAACTGCCGTCGGCCGTTGTCCTGAGGCCCAAGTTATCGTAGAGTGGCTCCTGCGCTTCGGTGCTGGGGAGAATTTGTGTGCTGGCCGTGCTCGACCAGCTGGGTACTCTGGGCCTCCTTGGTATGGTGACGTAGCCCTGCCTCGGCGGGATGTTCGGCGGGGTTATGGGTGCCGTGAACGGTGACTGGGATCGCGAATAGGGTAGCGTTCTGAACAGGTTTTGATTGGTCGCCACGCCGTAGATCGGCGAGTGGATCGGACTCACGGGGTTTATTTGCAGCCTGCTCGTGTCCGGAACGGTGGAAGCGTTGCTCGCGGCTGGAGATATCTGAGCCGCTCTCGCGGGGAACGATAGCAGATCTGGCGGGTAGGCGCGGCCATCGTTTCGGCCGTAATCTGCGTTGAGAGCGTCTTGAGATCGTTTCGTTTGCTGCTCGAAGTCCAGTGAACGTTTCTCGTCGTCGTTGTGAGCTGTGAAAGTGACATAGCTATTATTAGTATCATTTCAATTAAATCGTTAAGTAGAAGTGTTATTGGAGATGTACGTTGTAAAGTTTTTTTATGTATTTTTATTACGCGAATGATTTGTCTTTGGTTGAAATTACATGTAGAGTGATCGAATTCGGCATTTGTTTTGTGTACGCCGTACTTTGAAGTAAAAATATGTTAAGAGTGGAATTTTCTGTAGAATGCAGCAGTAAAAGCGGATGCATCAATAACCGTCAAGCGGAAGTTGCGCGGTCCTGCAATAAATGAACCTAAAGTGCAATAAATTTATATTCTTTATGTTTTACTTTTTTTTAACATTAATGTTTATAAAATTGCCGATAATGTAGGAATAGCATTATCATGTGTTGTAATGACGATTTACACACATAAATTCCACGTGGACAAACACCCAGATTTGTAACAATTATCTGTTAGTCACACATACAATTGTCCCGTGTGAGAATCGAACCCACGAACCCCGCCGCTCAAGCCAATATCTTCGCAACTCCGCCAAGAGTTGCCACGCTATATACTTAGACATTAACATTATAATGTTCATTGGGCATTGGTTTTCAATCATCATGCGGTGCAAAGTTTGCTCATTTGCTGTTTGTATATAATAAATTATAACGAGAATAATTTGTTCCTATTAGATAAGGTACCCTTTACTACCTACCGAAATGCAAACATTCATCATGTATTCAATTTACATAACACGAATATTACTAAAGATTTGTTAACAATTTATTACTAACTATGAAGGAAATAAACCAAATATACAATCTTACCAAAAACTGAGTCATTGTCCAACAGCGTTTTGTTCAATTCCGACATTTCCGTGGCCCCGCTTGTAATAGACGGGGGCATATCGTACCGCCTTGGAGGTTTAGTCACGGGGTTAACCGCCGTTATCAAACTCTTCTCCATCTCCGGTATCACCGAGCCCTCTATCAGCGCTTCTCCATTCGACGCGTCCGCTTTCTTCTTCTCCGAGCTTCGCCTTCGACAGCAGCAGTAGCAGAGTATCACTAAGAGGATTAACAAAATGGCCGCCGTGCAGGACACTCCGATCAAAACTGGCAGCATGTTATTGTCCATGCCGGGTGGAACGACGATTCCAGGAGTAGTTGGCGCTATATTTAGAATTAGACTCTGTTCTTCCACACCTCCGGGGTTCTTGGCAACGCATAAGTATTCACCGTTGTCGGTGGTACCAACGTCGATGATCGTCAGGTTCACCCATTTGCTGTTCTCCGAGCTACTTTGAGTGATGTAGTATTTGACCTCACCTTGGTACCTGTACGTGCCGTCTATAATTTGGGCGTTCAACACCCAATTTACTTCCGGCAGAGGGTTGCCATCTACCTGACAGGATAGGGTCACGTTCGTATCTGAAGCACGCAGCGTGGTTTTTGCAGATGGATAAACGATGCTCGGCCTGCAAGCAAAGTCGCTCGAATCTAATTCTTTCCACAGTTTCCCGTGAACCTTCGCCGGCTCGCTGCATGCTATTGGTGAAGTGTATAGGTTCTTGCTTATGACCCAGTTTCTGAACGGCTGTAGGTAGCAATCGCACCGCCAGGGGTTGTCGTGCACGTCCAAGTTAGATAGCGATGTTAGTGCGCTTAAAGTGTCGATCTTCAAATGCTCCAACTTGTTCCCGTCGAGCCTCAGGATGTTCAGTTTCGGAACGTTCATGAACGTCTTCAAGCCCAATTGCACTATTCTGTTATTGCTCAAGTCCACTTTCTGCAGGAAGGGCAGGTTATTGAACAGCCCGTCCTCCAGCTTCTCGATCTGATTGTCGTTGAGCAATATCCACCTGATCTTCGAAGTCTCCCTGAACGTATCGGCGTGGAGCGTCTTGAGATCGTTCTTCGAGAGGTCCAGTTCGATCATGATGGCGAGGCCGCTCAGCCCACTCTTGTGTATGGTTATCAGCTTGCACTCCCTCAGGATTAGCTTCTTAAGATTGATCAGTCTAACGTCCTCGAAGGCGTGCCTCGTTATTTCGTATAGTTCGTTTCCCGTTAGGTCGAGTATTTGTATTTCGGCGCTGAGTGTCTTCGGGATGTCGTGAAAGTTTGATTCGGAGCAGTCGGCCTGCTTGTTGCCACTCGCCCACACGCACTTGCATTCTTGCGGACAGTTCGCGGTGAAATCGGCGGCGGCCGCGGCGAACAGGATGTGGAATATCAACAGCGATATCTTGTTTACTTCCATTTTTGCAGTCGTAATCTGGAACAAAACAAATAGACATTTGTTAAAACATATAGTTATACCCATCAGGTGATTTTGTAGTTTAACATTTTAGATTAATCGTTCTAGTCCGCCACAACAGATCTCAAAATTGATCAAGTGGGTTGTACCTATGTTCTACTGTTTAAAAAGGTTAATAGGGAATAATATAATAAAACATGTTTAATATATTTTATGTGATAAGACCTTTATATACCGATTAGTAACAAAATGTATAAAATTAAACAGATGGTTTCATAAAACTTTATTACTAAGAAAAATAAGTTTCAGTACCTTCCTATGCGTAAAAAGCTGTTGTTTCTTATATAAAATAGTTACAGGATATTATATCTATAGACAATAAAATCAGGTAGTTTTGTGTATCATCTATTATCTGATTTACTATATTAAACGATTTTTACGGATTTATAGCATTTATTTGTAATTTTAGTTTTCAAATTACTAATAATTTTTAAAATATATTAAAAATTTATAAACTAAGGACTTTACGGTGGTAAGGCCACGCAGCAGCCTCGGCTGTTGCTTGAATGGACAGGCCCGTTCGGGTAAGTACCACGCCCTCACAGAAGACCAGCATAAAATGGAAGTATGACAAATACTTTCGCGTTTGAGTGAGGTTGCCGCAGCCCAATTTTCCAAAGGTTGTCAACGCTTCTGTAACCCTCGGGTGTTGCAGATGTACACGGGCGTCGGTATTCACTTAACATCAGGTGAACCGTCTGCTCGTTTGACAACTTTTCGCATAAAAAAAAATTAAAGACTGGAAAGACTGGACTTGGAAAGTTTCAACAATAGGAGATAAAATAAAAAATAAACGTGATAAATCCATAAATAAGGCTACATTGAGTAATGTGTATTATACAAAAATATTAAAAGAATTAATAAAAATTAAAAAACCCGACTTAGTTTCTGTGTAATTTTTTATTTTGATATACCCATTGTCACTCTCACAGTAAATACGGAATCTAACGACACCTCTCAAGTTAAAATCCATCATAACGTTCTGGCTGCAGAGCGTGCCAAACAATTATGGATACATACTCTCGAAAAACAGAACCCTCCTTCTGGCGCAGTCGGATAAAAAGAAAAGGTAGATGTAAGGAAAGATTTATTAGATATTGTTATAAAACGAAGCAAATGAAAACGTGCAACTTGATTAAACAATAGGTGAATGTTAAAGTTGGCTACACAGTAGCCGCATTAAAAATACTGGGAGCAGTGTTTGCTGGGCGAGTTAACCTGATTATAAATGTAAACTGTAAACAGACGCCAGCGGCTACCAGCGCTGTGGCCACTTGATACTTTTATGAAGTGTTGCAGCGTTAATTTATCACCTGCAAACGCTTTAAGCGCTTTACGTTTCCACTATTTATAGACGCCAGTTTTTATGGGTCTGAGTCAGCTGTTATGCAAGACTAGTGATGGCGGACGTGTGTTATCGAAAGCAGGAATTTGTTTGAGGATGCTGGGTCGGAAGGCCTCGGGTGTAAAAGTGGGTTCAGTTTTGACAAGTAATGTTTAATGTGTTGTAAAGTACAGACGCGGGGCGGAACTTGAAGAACGATAATGTCTGCTGTTTCTCGGACGTTTATATATCGATGTTTAATAAAGAGTAGAAAGGGTGACACAAGTTTGTGTTCATTACGGAGCTATCACGTGATCACGGATGCTGTGATGTGATCGAGACGCCGGGGCTTTAAAAAATTAAACGCGAAATTATCACAAAAGAATCTTTTTTAACTTAATTGGATAACAGATATTTCAACGGCATTTTGTAAATTCATAGTTGTGTTTTAAAATTCATAGCCGTTGGAATTCAAACAGAGGGACTCAGACGCGCCAACCAACCATCGCAGTCAGTAACTCTAAATTGAATGAATCAACGCTTGGAAATGTTTCGAAAAGGTTACTCTTTTATTGACCCCACGGTCCGTAGAGGGTGCCTTTGTTGGTATCAAAGTGGAACGACCTTTATGATTCAAACGATATTTTATGGTTACTCAATTTGTAAACATTACCGGCTTTCTTCGAAGATTGCACAACTTGCGTTTTGAATGCTATGGATATACCTCGTTGTATTCGCCGTGAGAACGAGTGAGACATACACGATATGACAGACTTCTTCACAACTTTAAATACAAATTAAACATTATAAAATCTTTTAAGAAGTCGTATTTATACTATCTTTTATTCATTTCAAGAAAAGATTAAAGATAGATTGAAAGAACGAATAAAGACTTTAATATCGCAAACTTCGTCGTCACTGAATTATGCAGAATTTATTCCGTCACCATTTCACGAGGGCTTTGAAACTTTTTTTTTATTATTACCATTTAAATGTAGGTCCAAGTCGTTTTTAATTCACTTAACTGAAGCTTCTGCCTTCATTTCGTTTCAATAAACCGGTCAGCTCCACTCGTTTCTCACGCGCATCGTGGTGCGTGGAAGTTAAATGAATCAATTCACAGTGATTGCGCCACGCACGCTTATAAATTGGTTTATTACGAAACTTATTTACCTCGGTTCTTCACTTCGCTTACGAAGCGGGGTGAAGAACGAGGAAAATGTTTTTGATGAAACAGCCCGTTGGAATTTCGAGCCGAAAGACAACTGCATTAGAAATTTTATCGCGAACTATGAAAATAGTAATAACAGGTTTATTTTAACTAAAAGTAACAAAGCCATATAAATTTACAATATTAAACATGTACATATTTAAGCGAGCGCCCGGACACTGAGCTATCACGGCTCTTCGTAATGTAAGTAGACGGAATAACGCAATATTTTACTGCTATTCAGCGGACATTAAGTACTACGTGCGAGGTATGTGAACAGAAACTTTATGAAGATGAACTAACTGATCTGAAATCCCGGTATATTGACTGATTCGCGTCCAATGCTTTCGCTACACTACACATCCTTACTAATATTATAAAGGCGAAAGTTTGTATGTATGGATGGATGTTTGTTACTCTTTCGCGCAAATAATACTGAATGGATTTTAAAGAAACTTTACAATAATATAGCTTATACATCAGAATAAAACATAGGCTATAATTTATATAAATATTTTTATGTATATATGTCTTTTTGTCTAAATATAACTCTAAATCAATTTTTATTACTTTAATATTCTGCGCAGACGTAGTCGCGGGCAGCAGCTAGTCCATTATAAGAGAATTATCATCCTCCTGCCTTATCCTTAGGTGGGGTCGGCATAACATGCGAATTATGTTGTAAGCGGTTTTGACTATGTTTTATACGACCGGCCGCCTGACTAACGCCAACCTCCCCTTGATAAACAAATATTATGTACATCCTAAATTAAATATGTATCCGATTTTCATTCGCTTTATAATAGGTTAGGTTTTATAATAGCTTTTTAATGTTCATAAGTAGACTCCAGCGTTATTAATCTAATACAGTATGTATTTTTGTTTTGTGTGGAAACGGTTGTAGGTCCAACGACCACTGCGATCTAGAAAGATCGATTATAGTCTCCCCTTTGAAAACATTGCCCCTTACCGTAGGATAACATTATCCCGTGTTGTAAGGACGCTTCACATACATAAATTTGACTAACATCCTGGTCCAAAACATTTATCTGCGGATCACATAAATTGTCTCGTGTGGGAATCGAACCCATTTCCTCGAGACCGAAGCAAATATTGTATATTGTATTAGCTGATGTTTTTGCTTTCAGTCCCGAGACTATTTAAGCTAGGACTCAAAACCGGTGGGCTAGCCAGAACCCACGGGTTTGGGTCCTCCGCCGTGGGTAGGGCCACGCATGTGCTCATGCGTGCGTTTACCTACGGCATATCATCTAAGGGCCATCGAAGATGCGGTGCGGACCGAAACGCCGATGGCCGTCGACTGTGTAGCTAATTGGTGGCTGGGAGCGGTGAGAACCGCCCTGAAACGCGGGTGTACGTTGTGTACGCGTTGTGTTGGTCTCGCCGTGCTCGCAGGCGAGGGCGAACTGATGTGATTGTTGTAACACTAACTGTGGCTGTAGGCGTGTAGGGTTCCGGCGGAACCCCCGGCGGTGGGTCCGATGTATATAAGTCTCCGAAGCAAATACTCGGGCAACTGCGCCACGTAGTCATTCAAATCGTTAGTTAAAAAGAGATACAAAATGGAGTAAAATTATTTGCCTTATAAAAATTCATTAGACAACATTATTCTATTAACATATCGCGTAGTCTCTTCTTAAATAAATCCATATTGAGTCTCTTCGTGTCATTCGGAAGTTTGTTAAATATATATTTTGTTTTGTTATTATCTTTAAAAAAAGGTACAACACTCATCTTTGATATAGCCTTGAATAGCTATAATTTCTTGGTCATTCTCTGTATTTCTTCTACGTTACTCAGCATATTAAAAGGCACTAATTTGCTCTAGCCGTGTGGATTAAAACTGCAACTAGGGCACTGTTCGGTTACCGCAGTTTCAAGTTACCGTGTGTCGAATTAAAGGCATCGAATTAGCACAAGAAATAATAGGTCTTAACAAGCCTCAAACGGTTGACCGTTGGTTGGAGTAATTGGAGATGTTTCACTAATTACCAGTCAAAGGGTTCATATATGTACGTAGCATTCACAATGCGTGGAGTTAGAGTTCACAATACCCTTTTAGTCCATAGTAAAGTAACTGTTGGCCTTTGACCTACAGTGGGACTTAGGCTATTCAGAGAAAACTCAGATAGTATTAACGCATAGTCCACGACAACCCCACTGCCGATTGGCGGACTTCACATAACTTCGAAAAAATTTTTATGTCATTATTTCGAAAATATTCAGGTTCCCTCAAGATGTTTTCCTTCACCGCAGAGCACGTGAAAAGCCAGCACTTAAAATTAACATTTCTATATTGTTGCGTGTGTATTGTGTTAAAGGTGAGCGATATTAACAGGTCTTAAATGATATCCAAAACTTTGAAAAAGGCCATATTAAGTTTTTTTT